GTTGTTTTAATGAAAGTATTAAGACTTTATTAGCAAATAAGTATAAAAACTTCTTGCAAACATCTTTTTTGTGTGTGATCAGAGAATCAGCAGAAAGAGTTTTTTTTAATAAACCCAAGAATTTAAAAATTGTCAAAGTTAAAATTTATAATAAAAACATAATAAGTGAACTCAAACTTTTGGAAGCAACTGTATATATATATTAAATTGGAAATGAAATATTTGAAAAAAAAAAAAAAAAAAACTCTTTCTATTGATTCTCTGACCACACACAAAAAAGATATTTACAAAAAGTTTTATACTTCCTTGCTAATAAAGTCTTTATACTTTCATTAAAACAACTTGAAGCTTGTTTTCACTTATCTCTTCTACTTTTCTTTATTTGTTTATAAACTCTTTTGAATAAAAACTTGAGCCTCTAGTAATCTAAAAAGACTTAAATACGTACTTTCTCTATTAAGAGCAAGAAAATTCTAGGAAGTAAAAGAACTGACAAGTGGGGTGTCACTTTATAAAGCTAGAAGTAACTAAAAATAGAGATTTTGTTGATAGATGAAGACTTATTATCTATCTTATTACATACTGTCTTGTATCCTCTTAAAGTATCTATTATTTTTCATAATTTTCTTGAAGGATTTTATCTACTTCAGCTTGTTCCTGAATTTCTGATAGTACAATGTTATCTAGTATCTGATTAATTAACATGAAATATATTAGTAGTCAAATATAAACAAGCTTCTACTGATTATTATATATCTTTCAATAATATTATTGATAATTGAAAAAGTTAATTGATATCCTATATCCATTCCACTTCTCCAATTGGGTTAATCTACAAATCAAGTTTCATGAGATCAATAAGATATAAGTAATAAGTCCTCAGGTGATAAAAAAACTACTATTTGTTCAAACTAAGATCTTTTTTTTCTATCATTCTAATCAAGCAAAGTTCAAGACCAAGGTCTTCTTTTTATCTCAATCAAGTAATAAGACTAAATGGTCTCTAATTCATATTAAGCTCCAACTCTTTGATTACAATTGAGAATATATTTCCTTAGAAGTTGTTAAATGATATTGCAATCAATGAGAATTTTCATCACTTTTAAGACTTCCTACTATTATAAGACAAAAGAATTATTGGAGAATCTGAACTTTTGAATAATAAAAAATGTATACCAGTAAAATTTTTTTAACTAGATATTGCTGTTGAAAGATATTATATTGAAACAATGTGGTCCAATTTCTATTAGATCATATAAAAACCTAGGATTTATTATAAGTCACTCCTATACCACTGATGAAAAAAAAATTACTGTCCAAAAAAGGTTGGAACTATGCATGTTTGGAAAATAAAGGTATCCATTAGATAATAAATCTTCTTAGATAATATACAAGAAAATCAAGATCAAGAATAGATAAGTTTCTCAGATAGTTAGAAAAAGAAAGGATATTTCAATCAAGTATTTTTTATTAAGAAGAGATCTTGAGAAGTAGATCTTTGGAGGAAGCTGAAAATCTTTTTTTCAATTTTTACCTTTTTATTTTCTTGTTATCTATTTAGATATTTTTAGATATCCTTCTTTCCCTTTTTTTCAACTCATCATTTTATAGTTTCCTATATTTCAATAGCTTGGTTAGATATACAATGGTGACAACCTGCTGATAATTATGCAATAGATTAGAAGAGTTTTCACCCAAAGATATTACAGAGTAAAATGTTATCCTCAAGGCTAAACTTAGAGACTCTTATACTTATGACAAGTTAGTTAGATTAGAATAATAGTTTAGCTATAATATGTATTATACTATTTGAATAAAAATATATTTATGTTTTCACTTAATTAATAAATTAACAATCTAGCCTGATTACAGGTACTCAAAAAAAAAAAAAAATAAAAATAAAATATTTGATTTTATTATATCTTTGTAAAATATTAAAGATTCATTAATATTAATTCTATTTATAAATCATACTAAAAATATTGATTTATATTTGAAACAAATTCAATTTTTTTTTATACATTCCATAAACTTTTTGAATAATATTATTGATAATATGAATTAATTAATTTGACAGAAAATAGATTTTATTTCAATCTGAAAATAATGTGAATGTTGAATTGTAAAGTATCAAAATTTATTTTGTTATATACAGTATGAATACATAATTTCTATTTCATAATATTTCAAATTAGTAAGCCTCTTATAGATATTTAAATCATAAATATAATATATAATTAAAAATTCGATAAATATATAAATTTTGACAAAATTGAAATTTTGGCAATGGAAAGATCAATAGATGGTGTTTATTATTTAATTAAATGATTTTTTATTATTGGAAAAGTGTGAGCTATCACTTTTTTGAGAAATTGCAAATGCAAACAAGATTCAATATAAACTTTTATTAGTAAATTTAATCCGATTTGTTAACAAATCAACTATTAAATAACACAATTTCAACCAATGTTTCTTTCAAGAGATTTTTTGAATTTACAACTTAATTTGAATAAAAAGAAAAATTAATATCAAAAGCTTTATCTAATTAGAATATTGAAAAAAAAAAATTTCATAAAAATCTGTTAAGGAAAAAACTTCAATATCTCGCGCATTTTCAATGTTCATTACAAATACTATTAAAAATACAGACTTGATCGATTGAAAATGCATGTTTAAGAGTTTCATTGGTAGCTTCATGTGTTAACTAAATACAAGGCAAACATGATCATCACCCGCTGTTATAACTTTTCGGCCATCACTATGAATTTTATATAAGTTATAGATTAATAAGTTCTCATTAAAGGGATGACATGAATGGGTACACACCTTGAAATCGCAAAGTCTAGTATTGAATTTTGATGTCCATGCCAGATTCTCTCACAGTTCCCAGTCCGGGCATCCCATACGCGCACAGTTTTATCAGCAGAGCATGTGGTCAGTAAAGGGGATTCGGAATGCCATTTAAGCTTGATTATGGCATCCTTTATGATCGAGAACATGTAAGAATCACAAAAGCCGAAACGATCCTTTGTACAAAAGTCAAGTCAAAGTTACGACTTACATCGTGTTGGCATGTTTGACGCAGTCGCATCGTGTTCACATCCCAAATGTTTAATTTGCTATCTACCGAACCCGTCGCTACCAAAGGAAGACTGTTAACCAAGAAAAATCAATATTATTTTTAATATAATTTCCGAACAACGAATAACGATCAAATTCTTACACATCACAAAATCCTACTGCCTCAACCGATTCCGAATGATCTTGAAAAGATCCTAGAATCTATTGAGAATTATTGAATCGTTAATACAATAATAATGATAATGATGCTAATATTCTTTGGAAACTTTGTTACCACGCCGCTACTCATATTAACCAGTCTTGAGGAATTATCCATGGATCCTGTGAGAACCAGAGTACTATCCTTGTTTGTTGCGAGGGCGGTAAGGCCCGCCTGGTGAAATCTCAAGTCATCGCCTAGAAATTGTTATACATGGGTAAGTAAGCATATGATTCGAATTTATTTATCCGAAAAAACCTATTAATTTCTGGTAAATACTAGTTATTTTTAATATAGGAGAAGCAGTCTTTGGGTCCCATATTATCAAGGAAGAATCATCCGATCCTGAGACAATCTTCTTGCCATCGGGTGTAAATTGTCCAACCGTGACAGCTTTCGAGTGTCCGGAAAAAACGTTCATGCAGTTGCCGGATGGGACTATTCGTAAGAGGAAGTAGTGGGTAAGAATTGTAACATTTACGTTTTGCAAACTTCGCGCAGATAACAAAGACATACGTTGCCACATCCATATCGACGCATCATTTGCACCCGCCAAAAGGATTGTGCCCTTAGGATGCCAATCAATCCACTGAGACCGTGTGAATAGATGTGATAACGCCATTCACTCATTACCAAAGTCAAGAATGTCATGTCATAATTATTGTAATTATCGAGACCCACCATAACCTCATCAGGACCTTCTAACGATGCGACCAACTCTCCACCATCCACCTTCCATACCAGGATCTTGCCATCCATACCACCACTGGCTACAAATTCACCGTTCTTACTGAACATAACAGACGTGACCGTGTCCGTATGACCTATTTATTACACACGTAAGCTTGATAGAAGCGACATATATAAGCAAGTTATTTAAATTTTGATGATTTGGAAAAAACCTGTCAGCTCATATAATTGTTCCCCAGTATCTGTCCTCCACAAAAAGCTTTTATCGTCACCACCACCCGAAACTGCTATATCTTGATTAATTGGATGCAGATCGACGGAATATACGGAATCTGATATTCCGAGTATTTCAGGAGTTGGATCAAAAGAGTAGAGAACAAATCTCATTCTATATATATATATATATTTTTTTTTTTTTCGTTTTTACCTTGATGAGAAAAGAAACCTTGTATGGAATCATCTATCAGGTCGACCACATCACCTGCTCTATCCTCATCATTATCTTCATCCATATCTTCCATTGAATTGGCATCGTTACCCGATTCGTCAAGGGTTTGTTCTTCAAAGACCTCACCTTGCTCGATAAACACTTCTCCCTCTTGCTCGATCGTTTCCTTAAAGTCAATCAATTAAAATGATTCATCAAAAAACAACAATTTACAAAAAATTTGGATTGCATACTTCTTGATCAGACATTTTTTTTTTTTTTTTTTTTTTTTTTTGCAATTTTAGGTAGAACACCCGCATATATACATACTGTACATGTGTCGGTTTCTGCGCCACCGCTGTTACATTATCGATTAATAATTTTGGATTACTAATTAAAAAAAAAAAAAAAATTATTTTGGCATCAAGTATCCTTTGAATAAGAAATATTTTTTATGCTCAATAACTTCTAGCATATTATTTTATCCGATCTTAACGGCGCACTGATAAATCCTTGTGAGACATTAAAAGAAGTTTAGTTGCAAAAATAGCATTCGCGCAAATTCAGCAGTAAATACAGTTAATTCAATGAGATTTTATTGTAGGAACGTCGCGTCTAATATGTACAAATGTATGTTCAGGAAGCACCAAAGAAATATAAAAATGCATTTTTTTTTAAAGAAACCAAACTAAATGCAAACCTAGACTAAGTGACAAAACGAAGCAAAATGAAGTATCAGGCACTTTTTTTTGTCCTTTTCAAAAGAACGAAAATAAGAATCATGAATAGAGAAACGAACACACTGAAAATTGTAGACAGGAACGTGCACAAAGTAATGTGTACAGAGTGCAAGCGTATCTGGTCGTATAATTCTTGCTAAAGAACTGATGATCCAGAGAACTAGAGACTAGGAAACTTTCATAAAGACGGACACTAACTTAACTTTTCTTGTTGATAATGTAGCAAAGAAATTGGTAATAAATGTGGGGGGGAATAAGACAATAGCAAAAGTAAAAAAGAAGAATAACAAAAAAGATCATCGTCACAGTGATGGCACACAAATCCATTTTTCAAGACGACATGTTGTATATTAGTAACGATTCTTGAAACCTCCACCACGACCTCGGCCACGATAACCGCTGCCGCCACCGCCTCCACGACCGTATCCTCCGTTGCCGCCATTAGAACGGGAAGCAGGAGAGAAACGCTCAGAAGCGCGATCAACTGATGATAAATTATAATATTCGACAGTTAAAAAAATATTGATAGTGTGGAGTGTGTTGAAAGTCAAAGACCGACTGACTTACCCTTTATAGTACGACCTTCAAACTCATTTTCGTTTAGGTTGTGGATAGCCGCTTCGGCTTCCTCATTACTGCGAGAGAGTTGTGAGCACGAGCGGTTAAACTTTCAATAAATTTTTACATCAAAATACAATTACAGTCATGCAGATAGATTGCTTACCTTGAATAGGTCACAAAACCATAACCGCGACTTCGTCCTTTGACATTTAAAGTCCCGGATGAGTGAAGAGAACAAACACGAACATAATTATAGGGTATAAGGGGTTGGGTGGAATAACACATATTGAATTATTGGGACACATTTGAACACACATTTAATAGACAATCCTGGTGAACGAATTCAACACACGGACACAAGTGAGGAGGGTTGGGAAAATGAAGACAGAGATGTTAGCATCCTTTATATTCGCAGAGACAGGGTTCCCAACACTTGCTTTGGAATTCTCGCGAAAATAACAAGGTTGCTCGCAAAGAAAGAAGGAAAAGAAGGAAAAGAAGGAAAAGAAGAAGAAAAAAAAAAAAGGGGAGGAGCGAGTTCATCTTGAAGCAAAAAAAAAATTATTTTTCTTTGAACTTACCAGTGTCGCGGTCACGGATGACTACAGCGTCCTCAACGTTGCCGTACTCTTCAAACTTACTTCTGAGTGTATGGTCGTCAGTACCCCATGATAACCCACCAACGAACAATTTAACGGACATTATCACTAACTAGTTGGGTACCGAGTGTCAAACGGGCAAAAAGGAACCTTTGAGTTTTTTTTTTTTTTTTTTGGAAAAAGTGGAGAATAAAGCCAGTTGCTTTTTTCCCTTTTTTTTATATCTGAAAATTCTGGGGACGGTCCCTCCTTCCTCACCTCAGCCAATTACTAATTTTGTATGTAATCAGCGGCTCATACTTTTTTTCATCAGATCTTTGATCGCACACTTGTGTAAAGAGAATGTGTAGTATTGTACTGTCATTATTTTTAATGTAATTGACTAAGCGTGTGAATATCATTGTTTAATATGTATGTAATTCAGCCACAAAGAAAAAAAAAATTTATAATGACTAAATAGTATAAATTACAAGTTGTATCAGCACGTGTCCAGCACAAAAAAAAACAAGTTTAAGCTATGCTCGCGTCATCTTCGTTGATTTCCGACTTTGGTATTTCGATAAAAAGGAATTTCTTTTGCAAATATAATGCCGAAGTAACAATCTTGTCGGGGCAGATAGGATTACCGTGTTGGTCATAGTGGATGTAACTGGACATTTTTTGATTTATCGGAATTAAGGAAATATCGATGATTCTTCTGTTTTAGTAAATCCGGTTTCAACCTCTAGTTAGTTACGTGAATATCACACACAAATTTTAATAAGGATACGGTAAACGCAGGACAATCAGGCTATTTCTCGGTAAGGGAATTCCGTGGTCACTGTTATTCGGGGAGTTATACACGGGAGACACAATCGCATCTTCGTCTTTGCAATTCTGTTTCGATAAATGTGAATGATACAAAAATATTAATTATCCATGGCTCAAAACCTGTATATGAACGTGGACAGTCGAGGAAAAGACGAAACCTTGATAATAGGATTTAGGGCAACTAATGCCGATGAGTCGGGAGTCACGATCACAACACGTTGCAATTGAGCGAACGTAGGAGAATTGTTGGTGGAACTATTGCACGGGCAGATAATGTAAATGGGTAGATCTTGTTCCAAAAGAGTATTTGCGGTTTCCTAAAAAATAAAAATAATAATAATAAAGTGCACTGAAAAAGAAGATTCAACACGGAAGGTCTACATTGAAGAATTAAGTACCTTTATATGTCCGGCGTGCCCCAACTTACAAACTTGACCTCTTCCGCAACTCATGAATCTGTGACCGATGGGACATTCGTACTCGACGCCGAGGTAACCTTTCAGCATTTGGTAATCAACCTTGGAAGGAAAATTTGGACTAGCATCTTTCGATGTGGACGATCCAACGCCCGTGCGATCTTTCTTTGGATTGTTTCTAACGCCACGTCTATTTCTTTTCTCTTTGCTCATATCCCCACCCTTAAGGCCTTTCGTATCCGACGCGATAAAAGATTCGTCCGTCTGCATCGGATTCTGTTGGATCTCGCGAGCCACATCATTTTGGACATCTGAAAAAATAAGCGATATTACAACGATCATCTTCTGAAGAAACAAGGTCACGAAAGGTGGAATAATCACTCACTGTCACTACCCAGCGATGGCCAAGCCGCGCCAATGTCATTCTTTTGTTCCTCTCCACTCTTTCCCTTTTGCTTAGACCCCTTTACCCGTGACTTCTTTGTTTTGCTATCACCGTCTGCCACGTCTACGGTCCACCCGCTCGAATCGCATGCTGTTGCCATCTCTTCGTGAGCTTTTTTCGTCGCAGAAGAGATGTCCATTGGCAAAAGAAAATTCGCGTTCGTAGCGAAGCCATCCATTTTATCGAGACCGAGGTTAGAACGATAAGTTGTTCCTGGCCCAAGTCGTATAAGGGACCACATCAAGGTGGACGATGTGACATTTTTGAGGAGAAATTGATTCCCTTCTGCATTACAGCAATTAGGGAATTGAAAGAAAGTTATGTTGGCGTCCTAATGGTGCAAAGAGATATCAATCGAATTATATTCTTCTCATTACCAGAGGTCAATCGAAGGTACTTACAATTAAGTCAAAGGGGTCATCCCTCTCCTTCCGACTCCTTCCACAGTTACACGCATGTAGAGGCTGGAATGAACTTCGGTGCTTTAAAACTTTCTTCACATTGTACTTTCCTCCTCCGCTCTCGGAACTCTCGGAATCATGATCCAACTAAAAAAATTCTCACGTGAACAATACTCACCATCTTCTCATAAGCAATGTAAACCAAAAAAAAAAAAGTGCGTGCTCACCCCTAGGACGCATTCGTGACCAGACAAACTTCGTTTTTCACATTTCTGTCTTCCGCGTTCCCAAATGTTTCGACACTCTTCCTTCAGCTTCTCGGCATAACTTTGTATGCAGGGTCCTCGAGCGGATGGCATGTAAAATCGCAAGGCACGTTCCAACTAAACGGAGGGTAACGATGTCGAGCTATTCAAACAAATAATGATAAATGAAGAATAAACTTATTCACCTTAACATCATGATACTGCTTGTTATAATACGTGGGAGATTCCAATAAATATATATCGATAGCTTTCCGTAAAACTTGAGCGCAATGGCTGAATCGAAAAAACTTCACTAGATCAGCCTTTTGCTGTATGACACGCGCAAAGTATTTGAAGGAGAAACACTAACGTTTTATGTCTATCACCTTGCAGAAAATCTGTTGTTAATCTGAACGCAATCTTTTAGTCTTCTGTTTAGCGTGTCGCCCACGGTGCTGAAACTTTTTCTTTCCAGAATTTCCTTCCCGAGGTTTCCAAATAACAATTCTCTCAAGGCCACCGAACCGGAGATCCATTGCTCGGCATTTGGTAGCTACTCAAAAGATTACGTTACGCCTCACCGACAAAGCAATGCGCGCGTGAATATGAAAGTTGAAAAAACTCCAAATACCTCACTGGACGTAACTCCCCGTTTGACGAAACTTCGGGGATAACCGGTAGCCGCCCATTTAATCCAACTGAGAGTGAAGTCCTTGAATAGTTTGATTTCGAAATTCTCTGCGCCTCTTTGAACAATCCCTTTTCTTCTTCGTAATAGTGACTCGATATCAATCTTATTATTTTCGTGTGCGTGTCTCGAACTTGAAACAAAGGAAAACGCAGGATCAGGTGTCAGCAGATTGCCCGTAGAGCCGCGTGGAATAAGGTGAACAAAGAATTGGGAAGAAGGAGGTGGAAGGGTAAAAAGCTGGCGGCTACAAAAAGGTGAATTGGTGAATAAATTTTAAATTTTAGAAATTTTTTTTTTCTTCTTCTTGAACTCGCATACTTATCGAATGGCGCATTGGCATCGCTGGTCTGAGAAAGGTGACACGTGCGAAACAGGAAACGAATGCGCGCCTGCAAAGCCTCTTTGATTCTTTTAATACTGTTCGAGGCACCCTATTTGTATCATAAAATGTAAATTATTAGGAAGAGAAATTCGAATCATGCTCTCATCAAAAATTCCCTGACATCACCTTCTCGTGACTAGACTCGGACTTGTTTCCATCTGTCATCGAAGTGGTGGACAGTTGAACCTGAAAGAATGATCGGCAAAAAAATTTAAAATAGTATCACCAGAATAACCCCTGTAGTTTTCGCAATCACCTCTAGGAATAGGAAAAGAAGAAATGGAACACATCGTCCAGGCGTGGTCACTCCGCCCTGCGTATTTCCTAATCGTCCGCCATATCCGCTGATGGATGATGGTCCATAGGGCGTGGGTATGTCCAAGTGTTGCCAGCACAAATTCATAAAATTATTAGCGTGTGGCATGACATGTCGTTTGACAGAGGATATGGTTCTTAATAACGAAACCAGGTTTGCATCTAATTTTGATATGGGTTGCGCCAACTAAATTCGAGAAGAGAAAAAGGTTAGGAATGCAGGTGCACGCATTCGTACATTGGAATTTCGCTCACATACCACCATCACATGAGATAACAAAAACACGAATAAAACCATCCGCAGATATGCGTGCTCATGTTTCCATATCCAATTTTGAAAATCTTGCTTCGTGGTTATAAAATGCGAATACACAAGCGTGTGTGTATAAATCGGATTGTGTGGTCAACATGTAAAATATGACGTATATTTTGTAACAAAGCATACCCCGTTTTCGATGGTCGATTGAGTGTCCCTCCATAGATTTAAAAGAGTATCACTGTCATTGATCGAGTCCAACAACAAATAAATGGTATTTTTCGCCGGATCACAGTAAATCCATAGGCCACGCTGATAAAATATTTTCGTTAAAGACATCGTGTTTGTGGATTTGCTAAAGACAGATGACTCACATTGTCCCCATTAGATATCAACAAGGTCGCTCTGTTTGGTTGGCAATTGCAATTTTGATCGCGGCAGATTGGCTATCAAGACTTGCGGTGAATTCTATGAATGCCTTTTTTTTATCAGAATTTTTTCCTCAACACGCTACCTGACCAAACACTGTCTTCTCGACGATGGCATTTGCAATGGAGCTTAGGCTGGAAGTGGCCTCGCTGTTTGTCAACCCGAGGAATGTAACAACCGAGACAGAAGCCTTACTTTGAATTTTACATTTCTCGGACAGTTCTAATATCAAATTTGATATTAGTCTTTCTCTCCTGCACTTAAAAATGATTTCGGTAGATAGGAATTCACCTTCAAATTTCCGCTTCAGAATAGCCTTTGGTAATTCTTCTTTGCTGACTTCGCATAAGACGGACCAACCTTCGTTCAAGGTATTTCCGTTGCTGTCATTTGTTGAATTTGGAGCGGCCATCAAAGTTGTTTTACGATTTGCAATCCCTGAAATATTGGTGTAACGATGTTTTGGGGGATATTTTTCCGAAGAACTTTAAAAATTTTCCGATCCAATCAAACTTTGATTTTATAATGTCGTTCATTCTTCATATCTTGTCGATTGAATATTACAGTACGCATTCATGGAATCGGACGATAAACGCATCTCCCCTGAGCAAAGCATCATCGGTGAAATCGAAGTGCACACCAGTAGCGTGAGCAACGATGTTAAAATACTGGATTCTAAAAAAGATTCTCAGGAATCAAGTTTCTCCAAGGAAGAATTTAATCTAGTGGAGTTTCCGTCCACGGCGAACGGAACCGTGGAGGCATACCCCAGTTTAAACAATCGAGATTTGAAAAATTTTATTTTACTCGTCGTCCTCTGTAAGTTTTTCCAAGGAATCACTGACGTAAAGTTAAACAAAAAAAGAATCCTAATGATAATGATATTATTTCTTATAGACTTGTTACAGGGGATTCCAGTTGGTTTGGCATTTGGCTCCATCCCTTTCCTTCTTAAATCAAAATTATCCTATTCGCAAATCGGATTCTTTTCCTTGGCAACCTATCCTTATTCCCTCAAATTATTGTGGTCTCCAGTTGTTGATGCCACTTATTCGAAAAAATTTGGTCGTAGAAAAAGTTGGATAATACCGATTCAACTATTGACCGGTAGCGTATTCTTTTGGCTCGGAAAACACGTTGATCAAATGTTCGATGAGGTGCTTATTTTCGTGTATTGCATGTGACAAGTACATTGGTTATTCATATTAACGTGCTTAGTGCGTCGGAAACATGTAGGACACGCCAAACGTCTATGCCTTGACGTTTTTGTTTTTCATATTAATACTCTTCTCAGCAACGCAAGGTAATGAATGATTATCAAGTTAGTTCAAGTTTCTTTGCTAACCCATTATTCCTTTCACCCGTGAAGATGTGGCGGTCGATGGTAACTATTAATTTTATGCATGGGAATCCATATTTATTTTACTAAACATGATCTCGATTTTTGCTGTGATCAGGATGGGCCTTGACACTGTTGTCCAAAAATAGTCTATCTTATGCATCCACGGCACAAACCATTGGACTAAATACAGGATATTTTTTATCATTCACCGTTTTTCTCACCTTTAATTCGGCCGAATTCAGGTTTTTATAAGACGAATGTAATATTCATGTATTCCTGATCGGCGAAGATATACTTACCTCCTCCCTCCCTCCTTTCCTCTCTTCCTTCAGCAACAAATATTTTAGGGATGTTCCGAGCGAAAAAGGTCTTTTGGAACTTGGAAGCTACCTTACTTTCTGGGCCTTGGTCTACTTTGCGGTGACATTATGGTTGTTACTAGCTAAGAGCGAGGTATATTTCCCGAATAAATGAATTGTTTCTTTCATAACACAATTTACTGATTCGTCTATTTGCATTGTAATTCAAGGATTCACCGCAGGCTGAAGATCACATGGATATTAAAACCGTCTATCAAACAATTTGGGGCATTTGCAAAATGCCACGTAAGGAATTGTGTCTTCGTCATTTTATCCCATCACACGAATTACGGGAGATTGACTTTAACAAACATTAATGTATATATTTTCAGATATGCGCAAGCTCATTACCGTGTTGCTCGTGGCAAAAATAGGCTTTATTGCGAACGAAGCAGTCACCGGACTTAAGCTCCTAGAAAAGGGCTTTAGTAAGGAGGATTTGGCCTTGGCCGTGCTGATTGATTTTCCTATCCAGATCGTTGTCGGTTATTACGCTGCAAAGTGGAGTAACGGAAATCAGCCGTTAAAACCTGTGCGTTCTTGTTTTGCCGCTGATTCAGCGGTCTTTTATACATATAAAAAAAAAAAAAACTCGCTAATATTTTATTAAACTTTCCTTCAGTGGATATATGCTTTTTATGGACGTCTGATTTTTGCCTTTGTCGGTATGATGGTCGTGCGTAACTTCCCGGATAACAAGGAAATATCAACCAGCTTTTTCTTCTTTGTAATTGCGAGCACGGTATTAAGCTCTTTTATGAGGTAAATGTCCTTTGTGAGGTTATTCCCTTTTTCTTTAAGAAAAATAATATCCTATACAGGATATTGTTCTATTGTATTGATAGAATTTAATGCAGATACGGCTTTGTTACGAACCAGCACTGTTCAATTCGTTAGTATCTCTGCGTTCATGACCATAATTGCCGATCCCGTAATTGGCGGAACCTACATGACTGTACGTAATATGATGGTTGCCCATCGTCGATTCGAAGTTGAATCAACTAACGCCCATCGCAAAAACCCCATAGCTCCTGGCGACCTTTAGTAATTTTGGCGGAACCTGGCCCCGCTTTTTCGTTTTGGAGGCGGTCGATTATTTTACCGACGCCACATGTCATAATCAGGATGCTCGTAAGCTCTCTTTTTCTTTTTTTTTTTCAGGAAAAAAAAAATATCACGAATTTGCATAACTTTATTTACTATTTTCAAATTTTCAGCATTTCCCTGTGTCTCCGAACAGGACAAGGCCTTATGCGACGATTTTGGTGGTACATGCGTGGTCGATCAAGACGGCTACTACATCACCTCCGTTGCATGTGTGACCATTGGCACCCTGCTGCTACTCGGATTTATTTTACCTCAGATCAAAAAGTTACAAGGTGAGTTTCCTCTTCTTGATTCTGCACGTTCAAACTACCGGTGTATAAATTCATTTTCCCCCTTTACAACAGCATTGCCCCCGAAAATGTGGAAAATAAGAATAAAATAACTTATGACAGAGAATCCGGCTTTCTCCAGATGCAAGTAAATCTAAAAACATAATGTCAAATTTTCGAAAAAATCAATAAATAGAGTTGAGATTTCTCAGATTTGCATACATTTCCTCTTCGACCTTATATTAATTGAACTAATTCGCGAATTTGTATATTAGGTAAACTTGTTTATTACACCCTGCTTATTTATTTCAGAAATGGTATGACTCAAGTCGGGAACTTGACACGACTAGCCATACATGGGACGTGCGTGTGGCTTGGGAAGAATCTGGTTATATTCGCATTCTTGAATAAAAAGAAACTTTTTATAAAAAAATAAATAGATGTCAAAACCCTCTTGCTGCATTTGTAATTTACCGATGTGATGGATACATTAAGTCATTAATTTTAAAAAAATATATTTTGCAATAATATAAGTTTTCTTGAACTTTAAACTTTTCATCTCTTTATTGATACTATATATACATATACTGTATATAGATAGCAAAACTGTCAAGTTTATTGTAAATATTAGAGGTACTCACACATTGCCAAAAATTTGCAATACAATAAATTTTTCTAAAATGCTATAAACAAAAAAATTGATTTGTTATTTTTTTGAACATGATTTATTATAACTATTTTTTTTTTTTTTTTTTTTGGATAGGTTTATGCCTAACTTTATTGATTTCCAAATTACATATATACATTGCACAGAGTGCAGGTGCATAGGTGTATATTTGGGATCAATAAAGATAATGATAAGTTAAAGCTATTCCTAAAGCTACTTTGAGATTTATTGTCCTTTCTTTTATCAAAAAAAAACCAGCATTTCTAAAGTATGCTGATGTCATAAAAATGAAAATAAATAGAAATAAAAAATGAAATTGAACAATTATATACATTTCTGAAAGAATATCAGTTCTGTTTCTTGACATATACCTATCTTGTTTTGATTTTTCTTATGGAAAGATCTGAAAAAAAAAATTTCTACTGAGTCTTTATAGAAATAAGGTAGAGGTCATCAAGAGAGACTTTACAGTTTTAAGGCTTATGGAAAAAAAATAATCAGGAAGGCTCAGGTGATATATTAGTATCTGTATGAGTGATTTGAAAATCTTCCAGTATATTATCAATTAAACCTATTCCTATCTAAATATAAGTATACTTATCCATCTATATATCTTATTTCAAATTTAATTCCTTATAAGAAGGATAGCATCTAATCTCATAATAAACATATCCTACTGATGACCATTAATATTAATGATCAATAAGGATCTCCCAGATTATCCAGCCAGCTTATATATTACTGCTGATATTTTTGGACTCAAGTTTCAATTGATGAATTGATGTTAATTTTCCAATCTCCCAACTTGACATTTTTTGAAGATAGGATGAAAACTTCTTAGGTTGCTTTATATATAAGCTTTACTACTGAATATTCTTTATAGCTCTATACTTTCTTCTATTTAAACTTTTTGAGTAGTAAAGGTTGGGATTTACCTAATATACAATTAAAATATAGGTGGTTCTGACTTAAAAAAAGGTCAATCGAACATCTTGTAACCTTTACTATAATAGAATAGACTCTTTTTATATTTAATGGTATATTGATAACATGTCCTATATTTATCCATACTAGATTATATGACTTATGATGAATCCCAGGTTTTTATTGAGTTGAGAAAATGCATTCAGACACATGAGATAACCAATAGGAGCTTGTTTATTAGTCTTGTTCAATATGTTTCATGTCAACAAAACAGAATTGATAAGATATATGCTATCTAAAATTTCAGAATCAAGCTGAAGTAAACAAAATTCCCTAGAAGTTATGAAAAAGATAGCTTTTAGAGTGCACAATTCTAATCAAAAAGTGAAAAGATAAATTCTTTGACTAAAATATAACCTCTATTATTTCTCTATTATAGTAAGAAGTGACAAGTATTTTACTATTGGTTCTTTTATTTTTAAGAACTTTCTTGCTATTAATAGTAAAGGTAGAAACTGAACTTTGCAGGTCACAAGAGTTCAGTTTGTCTAAAAGAGATTATAAATAAGATAGAAAAAAGATAAGAGAGTTTTGAGAGAACTTTTTAAGTTAGTAATAAAACTCTATTAACATAAAAGTATCAAAACTTTTTGCAAACATCTTTTTTGAATATGGTCAAAGAACCAGTAGAAAAAGTATGATTTTTTTATTATAAAACAAATTACTACAAAACAAGTATAAAGGAATCTTTTTTTTTTTTTTTTTTTTTTTTTTAAAGGGTAACTTTCGCCCAGTAGACTTTATTAAACGGGTTTTTAAGATGTA